GAAATTAACTTAGGACTATATACACGCGCGGAGAAATATCTGTACTGAGCTATCACCATCAGCGGCCCACCTCTCATCCGCAGCATATAACCCCAAATAACGATATCCCATAATCTAGACACCACGCCTAAACTACCAGATACTACTCTAATATCATCGTCATGACATAGAGTAATTGTATAAGCAAACATTATACCCGTACCTATGCATCTCCCAGATAAGCTAGCAGTATAATCAGTATAACATAAACATAATAATGTAAAGTTGGCATTCATATACTCGGAAAGTATTCCAATATCATAAATGTATATAGAAAAGTATTCTAAATAAAGTATAAAGCTTACAAAAGAGAAGAGAAGAGCTACTAGAGCCATACCCGAACTCTTCCGAAGACTTCCGGACTACGATTTCTACTCTATTCCTATATTTCACTAGCTTGAGAACACTAAACTAAACTTGAGAGAATATGAGAGAGCTTTTCTTGAGGTGTGTGAGTGAAGTGAGGATGAGAGGTCGGTAATACCCAACAACCGTCATTAGAGAGTCATCTCAGCCGGCCAGAAGAACCCTAGATCGAGTGGTGCTGCGGGGGGTTCGGCCGAACCATGGGCTGGGCCAACATGGCCCAAAATCGGCAGGTGGCCTCCTCTTTTGCTCTCATAGACAGACTTGTGAATTTTGGCCCAATTCATTATGTCAATTCTGAGTTCTTGGCCCATTCATACATAAGTCTGATTCTCGACATCGTCCGATTGATTTATCGTTTGGTTTGATGTCGATTCTCCTCTACTTTATAGTTATTCTCTGCAAAAGGTTAGTGAACCAAATACTAGTGGAATATTATTATTCTAACATGAATATGCAATGCAAGCATAACTAGTTCTCCTCTATTTTGGTAATATTGACGGTCGAAACTGATCGCTAACGACCGTCAACAACCCACACCAAGGATCAAGCAAGAAGCTCTCTCTCTCTCTCTCGTTTATTTACTTTGTTCTAGTGCTAATGGAGTAGAATTAGAATAGTTTCTTAGTTCTTCAAGTCTTCCAGAGATTTCGGGTATGGCTCTAGCAGCTCCTCTCTCTCTTGTAAGACTTTATTCAATAATAAAATATTCTTCTCTATATAGTTTTGGTTCATTACTTTACTTATATAATTATTTGAGTACCGACTTTAGTTCATATTTGATTCGCAATAATTATGTGGCAAATTTACTGGAGATATGCAATAGTATTGGTTTGTTGTTCATTTATATGATTGCTCTATGTCATCTGCAGTGATGTAGAGTAATATTTATTAATGTATGAGTGGTTCTTAAATTATTAGATACTATTAAATGGTGATATATCCCACAGATCTGTAGAATTAGGCCACTGATAGTGACAACTCAGTATGGGTATTCCTCCACGTGCATATATAGGGCTAAGAGAATTTCCTGGTGTGGGTACTCCTCCGTATCTATTACCGGTTGGATAGGCATGATGGATTGTCGTAAGAAACTCCACAATCAGGGGTGGTTTCTCGATATACCAGGAGGGCATAGTTATGGGGTATTGGCTGCATAATTGTACAATAGCAAGTGTAGACTAAAATGACTATATACTAGAAGTACAAAAATGATGCTTTTCTTATTCTTTCTCCAGTATTATGTTTAGTTCCTTCTGTGAGTCAACATATCCTACACTTGAATTGATTAACCCCTACATTAGACATTGATCTATACAAGTGATATAAATTATTAGCATACTACTCTCTTATGATATCTTCCATTGGGATTAAATAAATACGATACCTTGGAATACTTCCAGGTGAAATGGTACAATGGTATATCCGTGCGCTTGCAGATTATATTTGTAACCCTAAAGAATACCGAGTAATATTTTGGGCGTCATTGCTGCGAATTATATTTCTATTAATGTCGTTAAGAAATATCAACAACTAAATACTTAACTCATCATTATTGTTTTAATGGATCCGGTGTCAAAGCATAAATTCCTAACTCCAATGACTTTTGCTTGGTTTTATCCCTATAAATAAATTGCTTTCTTCATGCAAACTTATCAAGAAACAATTTGTTCATTTCAAGGCCATGTAGAAGTTGCTTTGTTTGATTTCATTTTTTTAACTCAACATTGTTTTATTTCATTAAAGCAAACATTGTCAATGATGTTATCCCTTTGTGCTCAATTTGAGTTCGTAATTTTGATTCCAACAAACATGATTTGTCCAGGTGATAATTTTGTCATTGTGAAGGTATATCACTTCAATTGTTTCAACCTTTTGGATCTTTTATATATAGTCCAAATTTTATGTTTTCTCTCGTGAAGCCATTCACACCATCTTATTTATTACTAGCATTTCTTTTACTCTATTAGCTCTAGCCTTTTAATCTCTTCTAAAGCTACATTAATTACATTAATGTTTCTACCATTGGATGATCTATGGAGGTTGTAAATTGTGTAGACAACATGAAGCCAAACCTTCTAGATACAAATAAAATTCACTTTGCACCCTCATGTTTACTTATTCTCATACAAATTTTAGTTAGTAGTGTAGAGGATCCATCTAGTTGCAAAAAAATCCATTGACCAAAACATTCATTCTTGAGAATTGGACATAACCTCCTATACGAAATAAATCTAGGTTTTCATTCTTTCATTTTTTGGGCATCAATGTTAAAGAAAATCAACACAATGCAAAATATGTTAGGCAAATAAGATTAATTGTACTCTGTAGAAGATTATTCAGCAAAGAAGTAAACAATATGTAAAAATATTCTATAGAACAAAATGTAAGAAGAGAATGAAAGGGTACATTATTATTGGTGAAACCATTTGTCAATGCCTAAGGAGGTGGAGATGTGACGGTTTCTGCGTTAGGCCGGGTCGATTAGCGCGTCTGTCCTACGCACCCATTTGTTGAGGCAATGTCATATACACACACACCACACATATGTGCCCGACCCATAACGCACAGAGATGGAGGCTAACAACAAATACTTGATCCCATTCAAATTTTATTAAAAATACAACTGCTTGTGCCCAATATTTTCTTTAGATACCAAGGATTTTCAATCTTGATGAGTGCAGTCATGTCCCATGACACAATTATCACACCAATGGTGCTTACGCACAGGTGTGATAATTTTGGCTGAGTGGACAAAAGAAGAAAAAAACACTATAAATAATGTGACAATATAAAACTACTGCAGCATGCATACTACTTCGTAATGCATTTTGGATTTGGTCGTCTCCACTCCGCCGCTCACGAGATGATGACCGACTGCCACCATGGGCCGCTGCATTAATGCCCCATACATTGTTGATGATGGATTACCTCATTACCTTCGTGGGCTGTAAGACCACTGATACCTATACATAGGCCCTCTTTGTTTAGGCTTAGGCTTATTGGCCTAGACTTTTAAGTCAGCTTATTGGCTTATATGATTTATAAGCCGGTGGATTTAATGTCCTAAGTTTAGTAGTTGAGTCATACATCTACCTCACATAAGCCAAAAAAGCTTCTCCAACCTAGCTTTTGGCTTAATAGTGTTAGAGTGGCTTATGGCTTCAAAAAAGCCAAACGGAAAAGCTGCTTATTTGTTTAGGCTTAGACTTTTCGACTTATAAGTTGGCTTATAAACCTAAACAAAGAGGGCCATAGTTTACAATAGATCACCGGAGGGAACCTCTCCACTAACATCGACTCCCCTCCATCATCCATGATATACCATCTATGGATCAACGAATCCTATGCGGTTGTAGTGAGTTGTTGGTTGTGTCGAACCTATTTTTAATGCTGTGAGTCTAAGTACTTTTGTTTGTTGTTTGGTTGTGAACCTCTATTTTAGATCCAAAGGTCGTGTTCCAATTCACTTTCTTAAAAATAAATGATATATGGATTGACGACACCCTAGAATGCTCCACAACTGATGCCCATCCTATCATTGATATGACGATTATCGCAATGTTTTTCTAAGGTTGTCCAATCTTCATCAGAGGCCATATATATTGTGCTCAAGGAGTCGACATGTGCCTGAGCCTGGATGATCTACTTCAGTGGTAGCCCCACTCCTGCTTCCCAAGTACCAGAGCCTACCAGTCATTATTGCCTAGCATGCGCCAATCTTCGTACAATGTTGTGTGGCAAGCAGCTCCTATTGTGGCCGTGCACGTGCTTATGCAGAAAAAAGAGATTCTTTTTGCTAGCGATGAAAAATATATTGTATTTATATGTATGTGGAAATATGTAATGCAAACCACATATGTAGTGCAAAGTTGAAAACTACTGCAGGATTTAGAAATAGATGTAAGAGATTTGCCCACGTCACCATGAGTAAAGTTTTTACTCATATGTGGTAAGTTTTTAGGTTTGTACATCATGTTTCCTCGTATGTATTGTTTGTAAGTAGTAAATATATTTTCTATGTGTTGGACAAGTATAGAAATAGATTATTTCTGTACTTGTTTTTTGTGTAAATAAATTAGTCAGGATAAGATGTGCATAAATAAACTATTTTCTTTTGCACTTGCTAAAAACCAAAACATATTGTCCTTTTCTTGAAAATCAAAACGTATTCGTGACGAAATATGTATAAGTAAATTGATGGCTGTAATTTTAATACCGACAAGTTGGGCGGATGGACAAGTGAAGAGAATGTGTGGTAATTTTTTTTATCTACGTGCAAGGGATGGATGCGAGAGTGGGAAGAGGGTGTACGTTACATTGCAACATGCGTAGTACGGGCTTTAGTTCTACAGTATTTGTATGAGTATGAATTGATAGATTAAAAATGACAATCTCACACATGCACACCCCTCTCACGTTCACATGCACAAGACATGTCTAAGCTTATGTGGTACAAGTACACGCCTTGAACATAGAATGGTAAACCGACCCTTGTGTGCGTGTATCAATTCTCGAGATTTAATGCTAAGATTCAAGTCAGAGAATAATTTACCATTACTAGTCTCATCAAAATAATAACTAGTCTCAGAAACTAAGAATGACGACATTTTTGCAAAAGTACTTGATTTGACAAATAAATCACTTAAGTACTTGACAATGAAAATATAACTTTAAAACCAAATGCTAACATCTCAAGGTGTCTACTGAGATAGCATATTCAAAAACATCAGCAAAGACACCAATTCTTAAGAAGTCACATACTCCAGCAACAATTGCACAATATTCAGAAACTTTAGCGGAGACACTAATTCTTAACAAATCAAATCCTCCAATAACAGCTACACAAAACCGTGTGGAAGTTCGAGTCTAGTTGGCCCCCTTCCCCTTGGGTATTCAGTAGGATCTGCATATGTTTAATTTAGACTGTTTTAGATGAAATTTCTACTGGATAAGAATTGACAAATAAGAAAGTTTCTTTCCTAAACAAATGCCACTTTACTATAATTACCTGGAGTTAGCTCTATTGTCCTTCCTTTCACGGAACTACTAGTTCCTGTGCATATTAAAGTAAGTTCACATAATATTACATTGGTGTTGAGAGCTACAAACTTGTGCATCAACAAGTTCAATTTCCACACTAAGTTACGTACTAGTAAGTTAGTAAACTACATAGAAAAATTTTAAAACACCATTTTACCTTTTTAGCACCAAAAGTTATGCCACATTTAATTTATTACACATTAGTGTAAATCATTTTCATTATGACCAATAGAGTTAAGATTTCCTATAAGATTGTTAATTATGTTTAAGTTTCATACATGCAAAAAAGAAAAAACTAAAAAAAACATAATAACATAAATAAGATTCATACATACAAAAGAGCAAAAGCTAACATGATACATGCCGTGACTTTGCACATTATGATCAGAGGATTTCTGCATATCAATACACATATACAAATGTCAATATACTTTTTCCAACAAAAAGATAAAAAAACACTCTTGCTATATGAAAGGCATCGTGTCACACATTTACACTTACGAGAAATTAGCATTAATTTTCTATACATCACTACTTCACCAATATGACTAGTAATCGGTAACTATCTTACCGTTTTCCAATTTTCTATGGTAATGAACATGGCCAAACCATATGGTATTAATATGAACTAAAACATATACATCTGAATTCGGAAAGCATATATGAGATAAAAAGTTACTAACCTTTGTTTTACTCCCACTGTCATCTTGTCGATTTCTCTTTCCAATGTTCCTCCCCGTCTTGTTGTCTAAATCATTGGATTTTATTTCAGTAATTTCCACATCCTCGGGTACATTCTTTGTAGCCCTGGCTAGAGCTTCCAAATCTTTTGGTACATTTTTCTCGGAATGATCAACATGATCATTCTTTGCTGTCCCTGCAAAACTATCTTCTTGTTTTCCCTGAGCATATACAATTGAAAGTCAAATCAATTTCACTGATTGAATAGACTTTGGAACTCTATGCTAATAAGCTCACTACTAGTCATCGGTATGTTGTAACTTGTATTTCTACATGAGTGACCTACCTTCATTTGCTTGATTGGTTCCTTCGATTCCTCTAATAAGATGCTATGACCCAAGGTGTTTCTATCCATTGCTTCCCTCTAGATCTGCTTTGTTTAAATAGTGAAGAGGAAAGGAGAGATGAAGGAAAAGATCAAGTAAGTTTTATATCTCATGAAACAATATATATTGACAGATCCATGATAGGGACGCAAGTATCTTGGCGTGCATATCAGTACTACCAAAACCACGGGCGACTCATGGTTTAGATGAAACCTGTGTGCTAATTAAATCCATCAATCTGTGTACGGTTTCCCAAGCCAATGCTGGTATTGAAGTGATATCAAGGAAATGGTCTGTCACGCCCCGAAAATCGCCTAATTTAGTAATTCATTATTAATGCATTTTTTAGAAATTATTTAAAAGCCTACAAGGTAAACTCTAATAATATAGGAAAAATTGAAACATAAAATTGAGCTAGATAAAATCTCATTAAATAATTTGCTTGTTTGTATATTTTATGGATTTTTCTGGGAATTATTTGAGCAAGGAAAGTATTTTTAATAAATGAAACATCATTTCACGAATTATTTTAATTGAAAAAGTTTTTAAATCTTTCCCTAAGCCGTTGGGCTGTTTTCAGCCCAACTCTCTTCCCTCGCGCGCGTGCTGTGCAGCCCAAGTCGGCCCAGCCGAGCTGCCCTTCCCCTTCTCTTTTCTTTCTTTCTTTGTTATTTTCTCAGTCCAGCCCAATGCTGAAAGTCTACTTTGTGTCCCTTTTGTACTGTTCTTCTTCAACCTCTGGCAAGTGGCAGCCGAACTGAGACCGAGTTGGTTCGGTTTTTCTCCTCTAAATCCGGCCTTTTCTCTTGTGTTTTCCTAAAATTAGTTGAGGGGAATTATTTCCCTTATCTCCCTCTTTCGTTTCCCTCAAAAACCGGAGTTTAATTCCTTGTATTTTATCCGAATCAAATTCGTTTTCGAGTTTATCTCTCCAAACTAACCATCGGATTTTCCGATTTCGATTCCTTTCGTTCCGAGTTCGATCTCCTTAATCCGAGCCTATAAATAGCATCCCTTAGTCGCCCTCTTCTGTTTGCCTCATGTTCTAGCTGCAGCCGTCGCCCGTCGCGCCGCCGCCACGTGAGCCTTAGCGTCGCCGTCGCCGTCGCTGCTTCAGCCGCGCCGCACGGCCGCTGTCGTCGTCGCCGCCGCTTTCCGTCGCCACCGTCGGGTTCGCCAGGTGGAGGAGCATCTCGGCCGCCCCTTCGCAGCCGTCGCAAGCCACCGGAGGGCCGCCGCTGACATCGAGCCGAGCCGTGCCGCCGTCGGAGCTCGTCGTCGGCCTTCGTTCGTTGTCGTCTGTCGTAGTTCTTTGCACCGGTGAGTTCGCCTCGTCATACTCTTCGTGTAGGTGCCTTCGGTTTAGCCGCCCGAGCTCTCTATCGCCGGCGGAGTTGTTGTCCAGTGCCATGGCTGCGATGATGTCGTCGATGACATCATAATTCCCTTTTAAATCGTAATAATTTTCTGTATTAGATGAAAACTGATTAAACTTCGGAAATTCATAACTAAATCATCGTAACTCCGATTAAAGTGGTTCAAGTTGCTAAATTCATCTAAAATCGAGATCTACATGTTAAAAATACCCACATATACTTTTTATGCTTTTTTTTTTACTGTTTTGTTGATTTTATTCATTTGCTTTAGTTTCCGACGTTCCGGAGGAGAGCGTTTACGTTGAGGAAGGTTCAGAAGCATTTGAAGAAGATCAAGGCAAGTCACACAAATTCCAAACAACCCTTTAAGGATGTTGAACCCGTTTAAAGCTAATGTTTTATTTCAACTTATGCATTATTTTCGAATGTCATCGGGTGGTGAGCCTTTCCCAATTAATTAATGGCCGAAGATGACTTTATTTTCCTATGGGTAATAAATTGATTGGCTTGAACCTTATATATTGGTTTGGTTCAATTAAATGCTATATATATAATTGCTTAGACATGCTTAGAAACATTAGCTCATTAATGGGATGAATCACACTACATTATTACTTATGGTTATATTTAATGGTAGCTCACGATGGTTAATCGTGTTATGATAATCAATTCTTAACTAAAAATTGATTAATGGTGGGTTGTGAGTACAGGGTTTTGATGGTCGTGCTCATGACAATTAAGGACCGGTTCGCAAGCTACTGTTGTGAAACATTAACCGTGCCAACCACAAGCCAGCGTGGGCAATGGCTTTACCTTTTGTATAGCATGGTTCGTTACGGGGTGCTAGACTGAGAAGCGGCGAGAAGTCCATGGGGGTCGCTAGGGAGTCCATGCCTCTAGTTGTAGAGGGGGTGATTATGATCTAGGAATGGTGCATTGTGGTGAGTTGTGTTGTGCGAGGGGTATTGTCACAGTTCCTTTCCGAGGTACCGTGGTGGTATTGAGGCGCATGATGACATGTCGTGGAGCTGTGTCTTGTGGGTACAGTGGTACATCTCTGGCCAGAGTAAAACTATTCGAATAGCCGTGCCCGCGGTTATGGGCGGGTCTAACAATATTTTTCGTGAATAGTCTCACACTACTCATTATTGGTGTTAAACCGTGATAATTAATTTGACTCCTGGTTTGGAATGATATATTCTTGGTATGGAGGTTTGATTTGTACAACCGGGGTTGGTTGTTCAGATGGTTGGGCCTATGTAACATGGGTGTGTTGTATAGTGTTTATTTAATATTGATTAATTTATACAACTGCTTTACTATTCTCTCAAATGTTTATTAAATGTTGTTTATGCAAATAAGCTATATTATGCCATCCTTTGTTATCATGTGCATTTGCATATTTGATCTGTGGCTTGTTGAGTATGTCATATGCTCATTCCTGCAATATTCATTCATCAGAGGAGGAGTATTTCAATGAAGGTGATGCTCAAGAGGATTAGACTTTGTTCGGGTCAAGATGCTTGTGGAGTGGAGTCGCCATAGCTGTTTAGTCTTTTGTTTTTATTTCCGCTGCGTAGAATTTTATTCTTTTGAGAGTAACTATCCACCTCTATAATAACTTATTATTTTACAAGCATTAATTAGCTGTTTGACAGTATTCTATTATCATTTTGTTATTGTGTGCCTCGGCTAATTCCTGGACGAGGATTTAACACACATGTAAGCGTTCGGAATTTTGGATAGAAATTACAGGCGTGACAAGTTGGTATTAGAGCAACCTTGACCTTGGGACAAGCCAAATGGTAAACCTTAAGTAGCCTTCAAAATATTTTGAAAAGTAGAACTCCTCTTCTCTCTATTCTCTTATAAATTAATTAAGTTGGCAGCACATGCAAGGGTAGGTACAAATTTACTAAACCCTACTTTACTAAAACAGAAACCTGTTCTTTTTTTTAAAAAAAAAGGACCTTACTGTTCAGGGTATTAAATAGTTTGATTTTTGTAAATTTCGTTGGTTAGTCGGCACTGTACATAATAATTATGGTATTGATTTAATCAAGATAGCACTAGTACTATTCATCCCTGTTAATGGTGACATTATACCGTGCTTATGGTACATCCTAAGTTTTATTTTATTCATTTGTCTAAATCAATTTATTTCTGTTCAAAGTTGATTTTTTTTCCAAAATAAAAACATTGTTTCGTTCTGTTCTCACGAGTACTGTACAGAAAAAAAATATTTGCTTCTTTTTGTCTACTTCCAAAGTCTATGCTCCTGTTTAAAAAAAATTTTGAAAAAAAACAACAAAATTTGTGTCTGAAAAGCTATGTCTCGGCTTTAATAAAAATTTTCGAAAACTAATTCCCAAAAAAAATTCGAAATTGGTATAAACAGAAAAAAAACAAATTTATTTCCATCAAGCTATGTTTCGGTCAGAAAGAAGAAAAATTTTCGAAATTTAATTGAAAAAAAACGAAAATTAGTTCTGTTTGCTCCTTTTCTTTTAATTTTCTTTTGGGGTCAAAATTAATTGAGTCTAGCTTGTGCAGCTAACTTAAATATATGCATTAATTCCTCCTTTATGTGTTCCTTTAGATGCCAGAAAGCTTGATCGATGCAGTAGGATTCGTCAGGGAGCTGAGAATGATGGCATTTGAAGTAGGCTACAACATTGTCCCCGAGTATCGCCAAATTCCCCATGACCCCAATGAGGAGAATAGTCGTGTTCGCATGACGTTGACTAGTGATCGTGAAGACCTTCCATCAATGATGTTTGAAGCTGGAGGAAGAGATTATATTCATGCTTGTCAGGAGGCAGCTTTGGTGGCCATTGGAGAGCTTCGTCATCGCTTTGATGAGGAGTTAGAGTCATCAGATTTCCAGTATCATCCACACAAGCTTCATGATCAGGAGTATGGAGTTTACAATTGCCCGGAAGATGAAGATAGCACCACTCTGAAGCATGGCGTGTATATGCTTTGCGCCATGGATGCAGTTGGCGTGGAGCGGCGGAAAGCAGCTCATGAGAGGGAAAATTGGAACCGTCGCAAGATTTGCAAGCTAGAAAGCAAGGTGTATCGCCTGCAGAAGGAACTGGCCGAGCTCAAGGGAGAAGCACCGCCGTCAGCTACCCCAGAGGAGGAAGATCCAGAAGAAAGAGAGCCAGCTATTCCAGAGGAAGAAGATCCATCTCTTCGCTTCGACGCAAGGCGGGATTAGTGCCTCGTTAGATCGTTGCCAGCTATTCCAGAGGAAGAAGATCCATCTCTTCGCTCCGACGCAAGGCAGGATTAGTGCCTCGTTAGATCGTTGCCGTAGTTCACTGTGTTAGTTTGCTTGTGCGTGTGTGGGTTTAGCGTGTTGCTTACATCATTGGTGGGATGTAACTATATGAGTTAGGTCCTTTTGCTTGTCAGAGAGTAAGTTAGATTGTGAGAGAGTTTTAATCCAATTTAAATGTAATCATACACAGTTAAGAGCAATAGAATTTAAATTAATTAAGTTTTCCGTTCTAAGGGTGTCTCTCTATCGTTCTTCCCTGTTGCCCGTGTTTTCTTCAGTTGGTGAACACTCACACTGAAGGAAGTGGAAGTGGAAGTGGTAACAATGAAAGAATTCCTTTCCCATCCAAACTTATCTTACTCGAATCCAATGATCTTGATGTTATTTTAGAGATGGACTAGCTAACCTGCCACCGAG